TATCATAATTTTAACCTGCATTTTGACGCACTCAAAATGGATTGGCACCCCCTCAAAGGATCTCCTCTTCCTCTTCCTCCATAGACACCACCAAATGCATAGCGGGCTGGCCCTCCAAGCGTCTCGAGCTTGCCTTCCCACTACACAACCTTTCCAAGACTCGGGACTTCTGATGTATTTGTTGGAGCCACCCGCGACATCCCCAAAATAGACTAAAACACAAATGGAGAACTTTGAACAAAGGACAACTTTGTAATTTCCTTTTCTTTTTCCTTCCAAATAAGTGGAGCGTGAATATTATTTCCCTTGTGTTAATTGAGTTTTTGAATATAACTAAAGTTAAACCAAGTGATTAATGATTATAATTGTAAACTTTAATATACACTTGATTAGTCAAGTAATTGTAATATCTACTCAAAGGCTATTCCCTAGTGCATTGGTAAAATGCTCGGGCAATCAAGTGTGAGAACGCAGTTTTGAATTGTGGCAACAACCACTTTAATGGTGACCACATTGGCTTATGAGCCTCAAGTTATTCAAACTCTTAACGACCGGAATTTGGTTCATAAGTTATCGACCTTAAACTAAATGAACCTGTTGATCCATATATAAAGAAAGTAGAAAATTAATTAGATAGAAAACTTGAGTGATGGGGCTTGGGCATCTAACCCGAGCCCATTCCAAATTATAATTGGGTTTTAAATACCTTTTAAGTAATAAATTAAATAATTAAGTGTATCTATTCAATTGGAGTACGACTAGTAATTCTCCTTTTTTTGTTGAGAGTTGGTCTATTGCACTCTCTCTCTATATATTAAAATTTCGGCTTTTTGTTTTTGGATATTTCAAAATATATGCCTCTTTTAACGCCAAGGGGTTAACTCAAGTGGGTAAGAACTTAGTCCTGGTGCCTCAGGAAGCATGTTTGAATCCTCTTGGGTGCAAACAATTCGTTGAGGGGGGGTGAGGGGTGAGTATCAACTAGGAAAAAAAAAAAAAAATATGCCTCTTTTGAAATGCGATTTTTTTTCCCACATCATTTTTTGTTTTCCTTTTTTGAAAAGTTAGCATACATATCAAAATGGAGAAAAGTAAATTTTAAGGGTACAATTTTGGAATTTAATAATTTCCAACACAATGTGAATGCATTGAATACCTTAACAAGTTGGAATTTCGAAAAGCAACATTTAGTGGGAAGGAGGGAATATATGATCAGATTTGTTATTCATGGTAAAATGATATTAAAAAATTTAAACAAGTGCTAGGGTGAGATTTATAGTAATCAGACTGCTTGCGTATGACCATCATCATCATACTTGCTTTAATCCCATATGAATGGGGTCAACCACTTGGATTATCTTATTCGATTCTATTCTATTACAATCCATCTCTCCTCTAATATTTAATTTTCTAAAATCATTTCTAATGATTTCATCACATGTTAATTTTGGGCGCCTTCTCCGCCTCCTACCCTATATGCAAATTAACCTTTATCTTCCTCCCGGTGCATCTATACGACTTCTATGTGTCTGTCCGTACTACCTAAGTCAACTCTCTCTAATCTTATCACTAATAGGTACTGCACCTAATTTCTCCCTCACATTTCGGTTTGTAACCTTATCTCTTCTAGTGACTCCTATCATTCATCTTAACATCCTCATTTCCGCTACATGAATTTGTTATTCTTGATTCTTTTTTAAAGTCCAATACTTTGCGACATATAAAATAGTTGGCCTAATAACTGTTCTATAAATTTTTCCTTTTAGTTTATATGGCATTTGTTTATCACCACTAGTTGCCTTCATTTTGTCCAACATGTGCCATTCTACTAGTTATTATCACCATCCATCCAACCATCCATTTGTATTAATGACCCTTGTTAGAGGATTTAAATATTGAAGGTAGAGTGGGTGGTTGTCAGCATGGTATCACAGTATGCAAGGTCTTGTGATCAAACCTCATCATCACTGTGATGATGAAAATTGAAACACCTGTTGGATCAAAAGAAGGCCACATGTGAGGGGGAAAAGTCTTGTGTTTAAACTTCACCGTCACCCTTATAATTAAGATTGGAATACGCGTTTGATCAAAAGAAGGCCACATATGAGGGGGTGTGTTAGAGGATTTAAATATTAAAGTTACATCTTCTGTAACAGCTTAACCATTTAGTGTAGATGATTGTCAACAACGCTAAATACCAAAAATGTGCTCTTTAGGTAATTCTTTGATTCTGAAGTGTAATCATTACCTCATTAATATACAACTCTTCACTAAATTTGCATTCCATATATCCAGTTTTAGTTCTACTAACCCTCAATCCATTTGGTTAGTTTAAACTGTTGTAAATGGTTGTCAACATGGTATCAGAGCAGAAAATGTGTTGTGTTCAAACCTCACCGTTACCCTGGCAATTAAAATTGAAACACGTGTTGGATCAAAAGAAGGCCGGAGGGGAGGGGAGGGGAGGGGAGGGAAGGTTGGTACTCTTTGGAGGTGAGGGGTCCTAGGGGTGTTTTTTTTTTTTGGAAGTTCATCCCGAAAGGGTGGGGTGAATTCTCTAAACATATTTGATTTTGGGTTAGGGATGGCTGGGCCGTCCATTTCTGGGAGGATACTTGGTTCGGGGACAACTCATTGGCTCGTAGTTTCCCTTTGCTTTTCAGGATTGCTCAGGACTGACATGCTTTTTGTCGCCGATTGCTATTGTCTTGAATCTTGAGAATGGGAGGGTGACATGGGATGTGCAATTCTCGAGACACTTTCAGGATTCTGAGACCAAGGATGCCGTGGTTTTTTAGAGCTGTTTTATCACCGGGGGTGGTCACTAATTGGGTCAACTCCTTAGTGTGGGTTGCCTCCTCTAAGGGAGGGTTTGATTTTCACTCTTTGTACAGGAGGATGTTGGAGTTTGCGGGTTGGGCTTCCTGTGGAAGGCTGTATGGCGCACCAAGGCCCCTCTTAAGATGGCCTTTTTTTGTTTGGACAGCTGTTTTGGGTAGGATTTTGACCTGGACAATTTGAGGAGGAGACAGATTGTTTTCAACTGTTGCTGTATGTGCAAGAGTGATGAAGAGACGGTTGATCATCTTTTGCTTCATTGTCTGGTGGTGGCGCGGGACTGTTGGGGTTTTATTTTGGGGTTATTTGGGGTCCAGTGGGTAATGCCTCGGTCCTCTAGAGGCTTGAAGAGGTCCCAAGCTCGTGACTTTTGGAGGGTGGCACCCTTGTGTATTTGGTGGTGTCTGTGGAAGGAACGAAATAGGATATCTTTTGAAGGCGTGGAGACTCCTTTCGGGTGATGAAGTTCTCCATTATTAGTTCTCTTATTTGTTGGGTGAGTGGGATGAATTGTAAATCAATGGGGAAATTGTTGATATTTTGGATATACTGGGAGATTAGGGCCCTATTTGGCCCTTGTGTAGCTTTTTCAGGCTGCGTTCCTCGTTTGAACGCTTTCTAATACAACTTTACTTGTAAAAAAAGGAGGAGGAAGGCCACACGTGAGGGGGTGTGTTAGAGGATTTAAATATTAAAGTTACACCTTCTCTAACAGCCTAAGCTTTTAGAGTGTTTTTTTTTTCCCCAGATAAGTAATATGCGCATTAGAAAAAGCGTTTAGAAGGGGAACACATCCCTCAAAAACTACACAAGACCAAATAGGGCCTCTAAACTCTCAGAGAGTCCAAAAGATCAATAATCTCCTCTATGGATTTACAATTTCTCCCCAGAACCCAACAAAAAAGGGTGGTAATGGAGAACTTTAAACTCCCTATAGGTTGATGGTTGTCAACGACCCTAAATACCGAAAAGGTGCACTTTGGGTATTTCATTGATTCTGAAGTGTAATCATTACCTCAATAATATCTGAATTTACTAAATTTGCATTCCATAGATTGAGTGTTAGTTCTACTAACATTTAACCCATTCTTCTCTTTTGGTTTTCAAAATACTTTCCAACTCTCTACTTATCAAAAAAAGAAAAAGAAAAGAAAAGAAAATTAATTCTATATTTTTTCCTAATGAATTTATAAATGAGGTGATCCTCCAGAGTGGAGCCAACCACTAAGAAAAGTGAACCATAATTTATTTATTTTTGGTTTTGAAAATATCCTCTGCAATGTTCTCCATTCACTTTAGAAATCTTAAGCCAATAAATAGAGTCTTTGAGTATCTATTTTATTTTGAACTGCTTTAGAATTTATTTGATTGGATTCGAAATAATTCATAAATTTATTTGATTTGACTTTGAAATAATAAATAAAGTATAAACTTCCCCCTGTATTCTTTTGAATAGGAGCAGAACATTGGCTTTTCTATTTCAGGTCACTGGCTGCTTTTATTTTACAAAATTTTCTTATGTTTGTTTATCTGGTTTGGTTGTACAATGCCTTATTCATTGTCTCATTCATGCTTTTGGTTGACAAGTTATTAGATTATGTTATGTCATGACATTGAGCTTCTGTTTCTTGTTGGTGTTTAATTGATAATTTGATTTCCTTTTTTCTTATCTATTTATATTGTTTCCAAATTTTGTATATGATGGTGGTGTAATGTGGTTGTTCAAAGGCAGATTTTTATGGCCATATTCCTACTGCACACAATTTGCCATTGTTTTTACATTTGTTCAAAGATGCTTTAGAATCTCATAGAAGCTGCCTGCCGGCTTTTCTCTATAATAGTTTATTGTTCATTTTCGTTTTCGTTGCGGTAGACTCGCCATTACATTAGCCTGATATCTGGTCATTTTGTTACATTTCTGTTTGGAGAACACTTGTAAATTTTAATTTTTTTTTTCTTAATTGGTACTCACACACACATGCCTCCATCAAGGCTCGAACCCCTGACCTCCCTTTGGAAAGTAGGAGCCTGGTACCGCTTAAAATATCATTATATCACATGTACTCAAATCTTGTCTTCAGTTGCCCGTTGTTAATTTCAGGTACAATAATTTTAACTGTTGTCCTTATTGTTTTATGCTGTTTTTCACTTGCCTTTTTCAGCTGGATATTTGCCAGAAAATGGCCAAATTTCTTACAAGGACCTCAGCTGGGAATATTATGTGGTTTTCTGTCTCTATCTGCATGGATGGTTGTTATTTCTCCAGTTGTGGTGCTTATCATATGGGGATGCTGGTTAATTTTAATATTGGGTCGAGATATAATTGGTTTGGCTGTAATAATGGCTGGAATTTCTCTTCTTTTGGCATTCTATTCGATCATGCTTTGGTGGAGAACACAGTGGCAAAGCTCAAGTATGTACTGCCTCAAGTTCATTATTATTCATTCCTTATTAAACAATCTATTGTTTACTAGGAGAAAAGAGTCAATTATTATATTTATTTTTAAAATATATATATAATGTCATGTTTGAAATATAATCTTTTTCAGTTTGATTTATATAATTATGGTAACAAATTACATTTTGAAAATTTTTTTAGGTCCTTATTTGGCATAAGAATTGCTATTTGTTTGCATGATAACATTTTGAATGATTTTATTTTATTTCTTTATATGGCATAAGAAATGCTACTAGTTTGCATGCATCACCTGGTTGTTTAAGTTGCCAAGTTCTTGGAGCATTTGCAAGTAACTCAATTCAACACAGCATTGTCCTGGGTGTTGAGTGTCATTACATGAAGCCTATTTCTTTAAGGTCATAACCTCAAACAATTAAATCACATGTTATTATCTATGTGTCTATTTGGACTGATTCCGCCTTTAATATGAACCATGTCATTTGTACCTTATTGATGCAGTCACTTTTTTTTTCGTTATGTGCTCTATACCTATCATCATATCTAATTACTTTTTCCTTTTTAAATTCTTTGTGCATTTTTTCCTTCAAATATTTTTTCATTTCTAGTTTTTGTTGAAGTTACTGGCAGTGGTTCTTTTCTTTCCAGTCTTGATGTAATTGCAGGGATATGGCCCTGCTTGCTCTTTTGTACTTCATCTCTTTTGTTTCTTTTATAAAATTGCCCCATTCAGGATTTTTTTTTTTTCAAAGCCCTTTGAGGAAGAAGAAATTAAAGAAAATTCATTGGGAGAGATGGAGATAATTCCCTGAGGCCAATAGATTTCACTATAGCAGTATAGCTATCTTCCAAGTTTGTTTAAGATGTCACCCATTGTGATTGTTGAAGAATACTCAACATTTTAATCATGGCACAGATGCTGAAGATCCAACTTAGATCGCCCAAAATGCTCTGTAAGATGTATAAATGCAAATCCCTAGGGGCTGAATGGGTTTTCCATCTGTTTGCGAGGCTTGTTTGAGATGTCAATGAGATTGATATGCAAAAAGGTGTTGAGAAATTTTATTCTACTGACATATTTAAGCCTTGTATAAGGTGCCTCATCTATTTGTTCCCAGATAAAAGGCTGGTCAATCTAATTAGCTTAATGACCAGCTTTTACAAAATCCTTGCTGGGGTATTTTTTAGGTACTTCACTCTCTTTTACTTAACCACTTCTATATTTTGAAGGGCTTTTGTCTAGGCCCTTTTAGGGAAAACACAACGTTGATGTGGTTTTGACTGCCCGTGAGATGATTGTATTCAAAACTGATTTTCATGAAGCCTATGATAATCCAGACTGTTTTCTCTCTCTTTTTTCTCGAGTCATGTGATTGATAGATGGGAAGGGTTTTGACCTTAAATGGAGACGGTGGATAAAAATTGTTGTAAATCAATTAGCTTTTTGCATTGTTATTATTGAAGAGGCTAATGGTTGGATTAGGGCATCTTTAGGGCTCAGAAAGTGGATATTTTGCCTTCATTCTTGTTCACCTTTGATGTAGATGCTTGTAGCAGGTCGATCTTAGAAGTGTCACCTGTGGAGCTAGTAGATGAAATCAGGACATGCAAGTATGGTATTATTATTTTCCATCCTTCATTTGTAAATGACATTATTCAAGTTGAAAGAAAAATGAAGAAAGGGGAAGAGAGAATTAACATGTCTACCTTATTACACAATAATAATATTAGATCAGGTTACATCTTATTTATCAATAAATAAAAAAATGAAGCATTAGGTGCAAAAATGCCCTTTTTTTGGGTACTCACATAGATTGTTTGTAATAATGCTCAATATGGAGCGGTATTCAACTTCATTGTCTGCATTCTACAATGCAAACAAGATGGCAATTTATCACAGCTGTGTCATCAAGATTTGGACCAGATGCTCAAAATGTGAAGTTCTGAATTGTACACTTGCATATTTGATGAATTCTGACGCTCGACCAAAAATAGTATTTTAGGGTGAGAGAGATGAAGATTGAACAAAGGGAAGAGATGGACAAATTTACCAAATAGAATGTGTTAATAACCATCTACTCTAAAAGCTTAAGCTATCAGAGAGGCTTTAACTTTAATATTTAAATCCTTCAACATTCCCCCTCACGTGTGACCTTCTTTTGGTTCCACATCTCTTTCAATTTTAATTATTAGGGTGACGGTGAGGTTTGAACGCTGGACCTTCTCTGCTCTGATACCATTTCAACAACCATCTACGCTCAAAGCTTCAGTTATTAGAGAGGGTGTAACTTTAATATTTAAATCCTTCAGCAGAATGGAAAGTGGGAGGCTTTCTATGTTATAGCTTAAGGGGAGTGGGCATATTTTTTCTGAGTTGTCTGTTGGTGATTTGTGGTTCTGATACATCTTATAGGACATTTAGTTTATCTTGGTATTTGTTGGATACTTGAAGCCTATTTTGTTCAATTTTGAAAATTTCTGTTCTTTAATAATGGGATAAATGAAGAAATGATGGGAAAATGCATTAGCAAGGCATTTCTGAAAAAGGTTTCCTGAAAATGGGATGATTAGAAGAAACTTTTTAAATAGTTTTCAGTGATTTTAAAAAGAATTTACTTGAGAAAAAATGAAAAACAACCTGAAGACAATTTCATTTCCAGAATGTTTGCTGCTTTTCTTATTCGAAATCTTTGAGCTTGAAAATAATATTTCGGAACGATGTTTATTGGCTCCTTAGTTTCTGCAACAGCGAGCAGTGTTACTCTCATTGGTTGTTTGGCGAAGGCTCACTATTGTTGTATTGGAAGTAAACATGGAATCTTTTCTCTTCAGTTTAGTACTTATTCACCACATTGCTTCTTCAACAGGGGCTGTTGCTGTTCTTCTTCTCCTGGCTGTTGCCCTGCTTTGTGCATACGAACTTTGTGCTGTGTATGTTACAGCAGGTTCACGTGCATCTGAGCGATATTCACCCTCAGGCTTCTTCTTTGGTGTATCAGCTATTGCCCTTGCAATAAACATGCTCTTTATTTGTAGAATGGTTTTTAATGGTAAGTCTTAAAAATTCTCTATCCCGATGGTTCCCCCTTCTTTTTTTTCCACCTTGGTGAAATATGAATGATAGTGCGCCATATGAATATTCAATTAGCACTTTTGTTTATGCAAGTAATTGTTGTCATCATTATCAATTTATCTTTGATCTTGATTTTTGGTTACTTTTCTTTTTGTTGTTTTTACTGTACCAATCCCTACAGGAAATGGCTTAGATGTAGATGAATATGTGCGGAGAGCGTACAAATTTGCTTATTCTGATTGTATCGAAGTGGGTCCGGTTGCTTGCTTACCAGAACCACCAGATCCCAATGAATTATATTCTCGTCAATCCAAAAGGCAAGCCCTTATTTTAGTATTTATTTATTATCATGTTGGTACGAATTATTAGTTGGTGAGGCTTTTGTAGTTCTTGCATGATGTCGTGGACTTATTAAGCACTTTCTTTCTTCTTTATCGTTTTTTTATTATCCATATTTTTCATAATGGAAATGGTGCGCTGTTGGATATCTAATGGTTTTACGCGCATGTTCAGAATCATTTCAACTGTTTATTGTGTTCAGATGTTATGCTTCCCTTGGAGGCTAGAACTTAATTCTATCGACTGTTCTGATCTAGTTGTGTCTGTGTAGGGTTTCACATCTTGTGCTTCTCTATCTTGGCTCACTTGTAGTACTTCTCGTGTATTCCATCTTATACGGTCTGACAGCAAAGGAAGCGCGTTGGCTGGGGGCTACTACATCAGCTGCTGTCATTATTCTTGGTAGGTCATTAACTGTTCTATATGTCTATTTGCACTGCTGTCTGCAACTTCAATAAACTTGCTGGTACAGCTAATTTGAATCATCCTATAATGTTTTTTTTTTTTTTGCTCACTTAGATTGGAACATTGGGGCTTGCTTATATGGGTTTCAGCTGCTTAAAAGTCGTGTTGTAGCACTTTCTGTTGCTGGAGCATCTCGGGTCTTCCTAATTTGCTTTGGAGTTCACTATTGGTTTGTTCCAGACTTGATTGATTTGGAATGATAATTGTTAAAGAGATGGAACTTTATTTACAATTTTCTTGCTAATGTTGCTGTCATTTTTTTCTTCGTTACAGGTATCTGGGACATTGTGTTAGTTATGCCGTTGTAGCGTCTGTGCTATTAGGTGCTGCTGTTTCCCGACATTTATCAGTTACAAACCCCTTAGCTGCAAGGAGAGATGCCTTACAGAGTACAGTGATCCGCCTAAGAGAGGGATTTCGTAGGAAAGAACATAACAGTTCATCTAGCTCTTCTGAAGGTGGTGGCTCAAGTGTAAAACACAGTAGTAGTGCTGATACAGGTCACCTTGGTAATAGTATGGCACGTTGCACAAATGATGCTACTAGTTGGAATAATGTTGAGGGGATTAATAGTGATAAGAGCATAGATAGTGGAAGGCCAAGTTTAGCATTACATAGCAGTTCCTGTAGATCAGTTGTTCAAGAGCCTGAAGTAGGAACATCCTATGCTGAAAGAAATTTTGATCACAACAGCTTGGTAATATGTTCTAGTAGTGCTCCTGAAAGTCAAGGGTGTGAGTCGAGTGCATCAACTTCCACAAATCAACAAACACTGGATTTGAATTTAGCTCTTGCATTCCAAGAAAAGTTGAACGATCCAAGGATTACATCTATGCTGAAAAGGAGATCAAGACAGGGAGATCAAGAACTAACTAGTTTATTGCAAGACAAAGGACTAGATCCCAATTTTGCTGTGATGTTGAAGGAGAAGGGCTTGGATCCAACCATCCTTGCATTACTGCAGAGAAGTAGTTTGGATGCAGATAGAGATCATCGTGACAATACTGATATAACCATCATTGATTCAAACAGTGTTGACAATCCCTTACCCAATCAAATTTCACTGTCCGAAGAACTTAGGCTCCGCGGTTTAGAGAAGTGGCTTCAGTTTTCTAGATTGGTTTCGCAGAATATAGCAGGCACCCCGGAGCGTGCATGGGTTCTTTTCAGTTTTATCTTCATCCTTGAAACAGTCATTGTGGCCATTTTTCGCCCAAAGACAATTAAAGTTATAAATGCTACACACCAACAGGTAATTAGGGGCTTCCTTTCCTTTGAGCTTTCTGTGGTAATCTTTATCTGTTTATGCTTCAGTTAAAAGATTTGTTGGCATTGCCTTGTAAAATGCTGATGTAAAAATTTGGTAATAACTTTCTTTGTAGTTTGAATTCGGCTTTGCGGTGCTGCTTTTATCTCCTGTAGTCTGTTCAATAATGGCTTTCCTTCGTTCACTTCAAGCTGAAGAAATGGCCATGACTTCGAAGCCTCGCAAGGTACATATGATTTTATAGGTTTTGGTTTTATGTGCTTAGAATTCAAATTTGCTTTTGGCATCGTCATTTTCTAGTTGTCATCAGCTACATTATCTGTTAAGGACGTTGCATTTGAAATGTAATTGTGGACAAATTGATAGTTCCACTTTTATTTTTTGTGGTGTACCTGTCTCTGAAGTTGTGTTCAAAATTGTACTTATACTCCTATTAAACTGTTAAGTGTTAATGAGTTTGACAGCACCATCCCGTTCCAGAATATAAATTGGAGTTGGTTAGCTTCAAATGTGACTATCATCGAAAACGGGGTGATTGATTACCATTCTCCAATGATCTCCTGGTCACCCTTGTGGTTTTCAAAGGAGGAAAAATGGCATAGGGAAGGTGCCAACAATGTGGTATAAGTGACTACTTGTAACTTCACCAGATGTTTCTGGATAAAAAACACTACTTACATGTTTTTGGCTCCCATTTGTCCTTTGGCTTCTTCCCCTTCTTTTGTAGGACTGCTGTCATGAAGTGTTAGTGCTACGCATTTTGGCCCTATGCAAAATGGAGATGGGCTCCTTAATTCTTGAAGTTTCTCCTGTTAATTTCCTTCCAAATACACCATATAGATCAAGTGTAACTGCTTTTTTTGACCTACTTAAGATGTATTTGCAGTGTTGTCCAAGAGAATGGCAAGACACCAGATCTTGAAAAATGAAAGTGGAATATTTATTACCCAAAGGAAACATAGAAATGTATGAGGAGTTCCTTTGATTCAGGATGCCTTTTGCATGTGCCAGAACAAAATACTGATAAAGTGTATAAATTACAACCTAAATATTATGGATATAGTGCAAGATGTTGATATCATTTTGGAAAAATCCCACTAATTAATTAAAAATATGAAATTTCATGGATAGTATCTATTTAAAGATATATCAAGGTATTGGATTCATGGATATTGCAAATATATCCCACTAATTATTCTACATGCATTTGTAGCCTCCTTTTGGGTTTGTGTAACCAACACTTGACTCCATGATCGATTGCCAACATCTTTCTTGAATCTTTAATGAATATTATCCTGAACTGGTCTCTTGGTATAAACAACGCCTTGGATGGGGTAGAGAAGTCTCCAAGAACCATAGCTGGAACGCTATTTTCAACATTTGAATTATAGCGCCTTGGGGTTGGCTATAGGATCCTTTTTCATTATTCTCCTTGATTGAAGTCCATATCACAAGCCATGTTATATTTCCTTGCTGTTTTGGCTTCCCTTTTTTCCTCATAAAACATTTAACCCAAAACAAATCACTTCTCTTTGCTTGTGCTTTTATTTATTACTAAAAATTGCTAAACCAATACTTAAGTTGACATAATGTTTCTGTGCATAACCCAGAAGTCTTTTGTTCTCGTGCCTAAATCTTGAGGGCGTCAAGCCTCCTTACTATAGTTACCTGATACCTGTTGTTTGAAGGTGATTGCGGGCATCTGAAGGAAATGGTCCTGCCCTGAAGGGGGCAGGAACACCCTTCATTACTCCCACCCCCATCCCCAAAAAGAAAAAATAAAAAAGGCTAAACCATCCTAGATGACTTCTGGACATCTTGTCCTCTATTGGACTTCTTCTTGTTTCTTAGAGATGACTTCATTATTAATCTATCTTTTCTCATGGTTCTTCATGCCCATCTATTTTTTTTATAAGTAAGAATATATTAGAAAACGGTCAAAAGGGGACATCCCGAAACTATGCGAGGGCCGAAGCCATAGAAATGGTCGTAAGGACCCACGGAACCCAAAAAATCAACAATTTCCTCTATAGATTTACAATTTCTCCCCATCACCCAACAAAAAAGAGAACTAATAATGAAAAATTTCAAAGCCCCGATGGGAGATTCCACTCCATCTAAAGATCTACTATTCTGCTCCTTCCAAATACACTACCATGCACAAAGGGGAACGGGTCTGGGCCCCCAAGCTGCAGCCTCTCCAAGCGTCAATCAAATCCCTCGAAGACCAAAGCACAACCCCTTGGACGCCGAACAAACCAAAAATAGGACTCCAACAGTCGTGAGCCATGGGACAATGCACAAGAAGGTGGCCCATGAACTCTCCATACCTTTTACACAAACAACACCAATTGACAGTAATTTGTCTTCTCTTTCTCAGATTATCCATGGTGAAAATTTTACCCCAAACTGCAGTCCAAGGAAAGAATGCCACTCTGAGAGAAGCCTTCGAGCTCCAGACCGTCTTCCAAGGATATCAGAACCATGAAAATCGGAAAGGCAAAGGAACAAGGAACGGACCTCAAACCTCCCGAGTAAAGGGCACCCAAAATAGGGAGTCAGTGCCTCTGCTGTCCACCTCCTGTCTATACAAAAGATCCAGCGGGCCATAAACATCATCCAACTCCCAATCCCGAAAAGAATGCCTAAATCACACCTCCCATGTGAGCCTACCGCTATCAAGCCGATTACAGTCGGCCATCAAGGCGTGTCTATCCATGGCAATCCTGAAAATTCTGGGAAAAGAACAAGACAATGGGCAATCGCACATCCCAAGTTTTGGTTATTGTTGTTTCTTTACTGCTCAAATTTTGCCATACAACTTTCGATTGGCAGGTACCTTATCTCATGTTGCCAGCAAAAGGCACACGATGAGAGCTCTTCCCTGAATGCCCTTGATGATTTCTTATTAATAAGAACAATAGTATGTGCCTTCGCTTTGTATACACTATTCGGAGGTCTTCTCTTTCTGTAACCTTAGCATTAATCGCCCAAGTACATAGTGATGCAGAAAAGATAGAAGCAGAGGTGAGATAAGAGAAGAGAAAGAGATGAGAGAGAGACTAATGGAGGAGAAGAGAAGAATAATTTGGGGTTTTTTTTTTTGGGGGGGGGGGGGGGGGAGGAATCTGTTAGTCAATTCAATTCAATTCAATACTCAATCAAAACCTGTCCATAAACTAAATCCTCAACAACTAAGAGAACACAAAATATGAAAATGTTCAATCATTATGTCCACATGTAGTTGCCTATGCCAAGCGTAGGTGTGTAGGCCAGCCTTACGGTAGCTGTCTAGCCTGAGCATAAGTGCGCAGTCCACCCTATGATCTGCATCATATAGTTTGCAGGGTCAATTTTACCAGCACATGGATCATCAACAAAAATTTTGTCAAAAAAAATATTTATTTCCATTAAGTTATGGTGAATTTGCTGGTTCTGTGTAAAGTTATTTGGAAATGTTATTACTCATTAAGGTATTTACAAGTTTTTCTATGTTGAAGTTCTTTTGGCTTTTATTATTGACCTGCTTTTGGCTTTGTTAACTTTTGAAATACATACATTGCTAAGTACAGGCATTTTGTTTGCTGTATGAATAGTTCCTGTATCCCTACTTTGATACATATTTAAGTTGTTGTATATTCATCAGATTTCTAATGTTGTTGGTTTTGGATTTTGTTTCAAATTTGCCAATATTTTTTCAGTATGGATTTGTTGCTTGGCTGCTGAGCACCTGTGTTGGTTTGTTGCTATCTTTCTTGAGGTATGGATCTGGATGTGTTTTAATAAATTATTTTCATCCCCTTCTTCTTTGTTGCTACTCCTTTGTTTTCTTAGAGCACATATTTTGGCATGAAGAGAATGGTTTTAAGATATGATCCATTTCTTGACAAAATAATTTAGTATCCACATGCTTGGAACTTTTTATGATTAAATATTTCATGGATTTTCCTTTAGTATGTTATTTTTAAATTCATTTTTAATCATTGTGGTCCGCAAAATTATTAGGTCTCATCTTGTTATGTTTTGGCAATTAAAAAACTAGACACAAGGACAATCCTTTTTCTAAAATGAATTGTAATTATGATATTGTGTCTTGTTCTTCACTACTACATATATAAATTTACCTGCATGAGTTGCAAAAATAATGTTTTTCTTATAAAAAAAAAAGATCTCTGCAAGTTTATCTGCTTATATTATATTCCACATTGGCTTTTTTAGATTGTTTGGTTAAAATTGTTATCGGCGTTGTTGAGTTGCATTATGTTTTAAGTGTGCAAAAGCCTTATTTACTGCCCTCTAGGTCTAATTGGGCGTAGTGTACTCTGACATATCATTGCCTTGGATCACAATTCCTAGATTTCTGGTATCAGAGCATATCAATTGTAGATTTAACAATTCCTAAATGTAACTAATAATGTAAGTCATTACTGAAAATGTTCAAGGGAATACATGTTATATACATTCATAAATGTTCTGTCATTCAACTTTTTCCCCTTCTATTGATGTGATAGTGGTGCTAATTATATTCTCTCTCTTTTTTCTTTTTCTTTTTTCCTGCAGCAAATCTTCAGTTCTTCTCGGTTTGTCTTTGACACTCCCTCTCATAGTGGCATGTCTGTCTGTTGCTATTCCTATATGGATCCATAATGGCTACCAGTTTTGGATTTCTAAAGTTGATTGTGGAGGTCATGCTGGAAATCATCGAAGTCTGGGCATGAAGCAGGTTTGTTCTTCACCTGTCTGTTCACTTTTTTCTTTATGTTGCCACTCATTGGTTTATAACCTATACATAAATATATGGGGTCATATTAGGAATCTTTACTCACAGCAACTGTCCATGCTGAGCATTAAAACATGCATTTTGGCATGCTTGTTAGGAATGTAAGTCAGGCCAATGAACTTGAGCTTTGCATCTGGCAGCTTGGTTCAAGACTTGCATCAGTGTAGTAGTAAAACTGTAGAGCACTTTCGGTGGAAAGTCTGTTGTCCTTGAATCCAATATAACCAATTATAATCTTATATCATTAAATTTAGAATGCGTTTTTAGATATTGAAATTCTTTGAATTTTTCTGATTACTTTGCCACAATGCATCAACAGGGTGCTGTTCTTTTTATCTGCATATCAATATTTACTGGATCTGTCTTAGCTCTTGGTGCAATAGTATCTGCCAAGCCTTTGGATGATTTGGGGTATAAGGGATTGGCTGGTGATCAGAATAATGTTGCATCTCCATACACATCATCTGTGTATCTTGGCTGGGCAATGGCTTCTGCTATTGCTTTAATAGTTACTGGTGTTCTACCAATTGTATCCTGGTTTGCGACCTACCGGTTCTCTCTCTCTTCTGCTATATGTGTGGGAATATTTGCAGGTACTTTTTGTCTTCGATTTGTCTTGACTCTTAACTTTGATGTCTTTGCTAGTATTGGTGGTTTTTTGTATAAAAAAGAAAGGGGGAAAATGAGTATTGGGACCTTCTCTTTTTTATTTTAAGCAGTGGTTGGTTGAAGCATTGTTCTAACTACCCATTCTCTTTGATGTTCAAATTTTTATAGTTGTCCTAGTGGCATTTTGTGGCGCATCCTATTTGGAGGTTGTGAGTTCTAGAGACGACCAGGTTCCAACTAAGACTGATTTCCTGGCTTCTTTACTTCCTCTCGTGTGCATCCCGGCATTGCTAACACTATGTTCTGGGCTGCTTAAATGGTAATTGACCTGGCATGATTCAGTAATGGCACTTCATGGCTTAAATTTGGGCTGCTGGGTTAGAACATTTTCAGATGACACTTAAAATAGTGATCAAAACATATCTAATTAAATATGCTATGGAAATATTTTGTAGGAAAGATGATGACTGGAAACTTTCTCGAGGTGTTTATGTGTTTATTGTCATTGGTCTTCTTCTTCTGCTTGGTGCAATTTCAGCTGTTATAGTTATAGTTAAACCATGGACAGTAAGTGGCGCTTACTTTGTTGTCCTTGTTTTATGTTAGCTTTCAGCTTTAGTACACGAGTAATTTAGCTTCTCTTTTGCTTTTTGCAACAGGTAGGGGCAGCGTTCCTTTTAGTTCTTCTTCTCATCGTCCTAGCTATTGGTGTCATCCACTACTGGGCTTTGAACAATTTCTATTTGACCAGGACACAGATGTTCTTTGTTTGTTTCCTTGCTTTTCTTTTGGCTTTGGCAGCATTGCTCATTGGATGGTTTGAAGGTGAAAACGGGACTTTGTTTCCTGTCTTTGGTCTATTTTTGACCCATTTGAATGAAGAAACATCATCTTTTGCTGCAGTGCATAACCACGTCTTCATTGTTTTTTAAGACAAAAAATTCCTCACTAAATAGCATCTCTTAATCTTTCCTCTAAACATGTTTTTGCTTGGCAAATGACATTATCATTGTTACTGTTGCATTTCAGATAAAGCTTTTGTTGGAGTATCTGTTGGTTACTTTTCCTTTCTCTTTCTCCTGGCTGGAAGGTCGTTAAGTGTGAGTTAAACTGGATTATAATGAATTTGGTTTTGAAGCTCATTGGACATGTTTGGTTCTTGTATACTTGGTTTTGGATTACTTTATCTTTGGTTCTTATTCTATAATTTTTATTTTCCACGTTCATCGTGTTATGGAATGCTCCCCCTTTCTGCAGGTGCTTCTTTCACCTCCTATTGTAGTTTACTCTCCAAGGGTACTTCCAGTATATGTTTATGATGCTCATGCAGATTGTGGGAAAAATGTCAGGTTTGTTGGAAATTTATTATTTATTTGCATGCCTTACATTTGCTCATGTTAATCAATTTTCTACTCGATTATATCAATCAAACTTTTCTATTGCAATCCAGTTTGTACACTAACTGCATAGCTTCATTATATATTCCCGTGTAATATTTGTAAATGGATTCGTCAACAGTGTGGCATTTCTTATGCTTTATGGGATTGCATTGGCAACTGAGGGTTGGGGTGTCGTTGCCAGTTTGAAAATTTATCCACCTTTTGCTGGCGCTGCTGTATCAGCAATAACCCTTGTTGTATCTTTTGGATTTGCTGTATCTCGTCCATGCTTGACTCTTAAGGTTTGTCCACTCACTACACACTATTATCTAAACCAAGAAAAGTAAAATGTTTTCTCAAGAAGGAAAAAATCCTAAAAAATCAACAATGCCTCATTATAGTGGTGGTTTTCATGGAGCTGTTATGAGATATTTTTTTCTGGGAATAAATTGTCGACTTGCAAGTATGTTTTTACAATCTGCAGCTTCTTAGTTTTTCAATTTTCACTTAATGACCAGATGATGGAAGATGCTGTTCACTTTCTCAGCAAGGAAACTGTTGTTCAGGCGATTGCTAGATCTGCTACTAAGGTGTGGTTTTTTTCCTAACTGGATTTCTGACTACTTCTCTACTGTTTTTATCCCTCAATTTACCAAAATGATATCTTATGGATGAACCTTTATGTTTCTGTTCAACTTTAAATATTGTATGTGAAAATCTATAGCTAATTCCATTAAGGTCTTGCAATTTTGCTAGTGCACTACACCCCGTGCACATTCTAATCAAAGGGCTGCTTAATTATCTTGGGTTTTTTAATTTAATTTAATTTTTTATTATCTCCCTCCAACTGTCTTAGCAAGCCTTTTCTTAATACTTTAAGAAACAAAATTTCCTTTCTTAATTGACCAGTAGACTTCTGCGTTCATACTTAACTGTAAAGATTACTTCATTCCCATGCAGACTAGAAATGCTCTATCCGGAACTTATTCTGCTCCACAGAGGTCTGCTAGCTCAGCTGCTCTTCTTGTTGGAGACCCTACCATCATGCGTGACAGGGGTGGAAATTTTGTGCTCCCTAGAGATGATGTCGTGAAACTAAGAGATCGTCTGAGAAATGAAGAACTAGCTGCAGGATCATTCTTCCGCAGAATAAGAAGTGGAAGGACATTGCAGCATGAATTAACCAGTGATATAGGCTACAGAAGAGAAATGTGTGCCCATGCGCGAATTCTGGCTTTAGAAGAGGCAATTGATACAGAATGGGTTTATATGTGGGATAAGTTTGGTGGTTACTTACTTCTTTTGCTTGGTTTGACTGCTAAGGCAGAGAGGGTACAGGTGAATGTTGATCTTATTGCTTTCCGCGTGTGATGTTTTTTAGTTGTTAATTGTTTTTACCTTGTATTCTTGTTGTGGCAGGATGAGGTTCGCTTAAGGCTCTTCCTTGATAGCATAGGATTTTCTGATCTAAGTGCCAAGAAAATAAAAAAATGGATGCCAGAAGACCGCAGACAGTTTGAAATCATACAGGAAAGGTAGATGACTTTCTATCAAGTAACCTTCATTTCTTTGTGCTAGAACCTTTTCCATGAATTCTTGTATAGGAAACAACAAATTTTATTGAAGATGAATGAACAAGTGCAAAGGTGGACAAGATGTCCAGCATGTTGAAAAACAAACTAAACTGAGAATCATGGTCTGACACAATTTTTTTTTTGGAAGTTAAAGCAAACACACATGCCCATTCCTACAATATCCCCCTAGTGGGGCTCAAACTCTATACCCCTCCCCTTTGAAGAGGAGAGATCATACCATCCGGCTAGAGCCCTGGTGGTTGTCGGACACACAATTAGGACCCAAGAACTTAGAAATCAAAGGACATACTGATGCCCTTGACCCACTCAAAAGGAAGTTGTTCCCCTCTTAACCAAAGAGTTCACCATGCTATTCCCTGACCAATAAATCCAAGAATGGAAACATGCATAGCCCGAGGAAAATCCCAAGTTTTCCTAATCAAAAGAACATTTCTCATTCACAGTCCAATTTGTAATAACCGATGAATCGTCCTCTAACAAGAAATGGCTCAAATCCGAAGAGCCTTCCTCTTTAAGATCTTTAAGTAGACTCAATTTTTCTGCTTTGGTGCATCACCTTGACTAGCTTTGAGTTGTAAAAATAACCTCACAGCCATGATTTCATAGAATGCTGCCCACCCCTAATTCACACAAATTCATAAGAGAGCAACCATCATAGTTAAGTTTAGCATAGAAATAGGAGGATTACATAAATTCACGAGCTTAGCCTTACAACCATTAGAAGTAGTATAAAGTGACCTCTTCAAACTTCCATTGCAACTTATTTCTGTTAAATTTAAAACTCTCTGACGTCTATTCTTCCCATCTATTCAGGTTTCTAATTTAATCAAAATGCCTCCTTGGACTCTTCTTTTCTTTTCCTTTCTTTTACCCCATCCTGGTTATTTCCTGGATGCCTTAAGATCACCAAAACTGTTTGTGTCGGTCCTTTAGGTCTCCTTTGACATCCAGCATTCTTGATTTCTTTCATGGGCTTAAAGCTCTCCCATGCCTCGACTTGATACTCACTTCACGATTTTCCTAAACCAGTATAAAAATTTTGATGCATCTGAAAGGAGTAGGACCACAATTTGAACTGATTAGACTCAGACATCATTAGGCAGTGATACTGATATTTTCCTTGGGAGAACTTGAATAACATTATGTTGAACAAGTCCTCCGACGCTATTAAGAAAAAGAAAACTTCAAAGCCTATAACCCTCTCAGTGATTTTAGATCCATTAACTTCTTATTAATGTTCCTAATCACACGAGAATGCCTGCCTAAGCTCAAGGAAAGTTAACCCATACATTCTATCCAGATTGTCCTAAAATCTGATCTTGGATTATTTCCCCATACACGCCTGTAAGCCACCGGTTCTCCCATGACAGGCTTGACAGCAACTTGAATAACAGACAATGAACTTCTATTTTTATTAATAGTAATAATAATTGTTATTATTAGTATTAGTATTTAGTGTTATTATTATTTTGTGACAATGAATAATAATTTCCCATAAGAGTTTTCTGCACAACAAAGGTTCCATGGACAACAAATGTTCCATGGACGAAGGGAAGACCAATCTCTGCTGTAGCTTCTCCTACAGTTTTAATGACATTTCTATCAACCTTCTCCAATTATTGTTCTTTAAGATAGCACAATGTCAGTGTTAGGCATTATCATTGCTTCTTTTACAACCCTTCTTTCACCTCTGACTTCCATTGTTTCTCTTATGTATTAATCTATTTCAATTTTGTAGTTATATAAGAGAAAAGGAAATGGAAGAGGAAATCTTAATGCAGAGACGTGAAGAAGAGGGAAAGGGTAAAGAAAGAAGGAAGGCTCTTCTGGAGAAGGAAGAACGTAAATGGAAGGAGATTGAGGCTTCTCTCATCTCATCTATTCCTAATGCTGGTAGCAGGGAGGCTGCAGCCATGGCAGCTGCAGTTCGTGCAGTAGGAGGTGATTCTGTTCTTGGAGATACATTTGCACGTGAGAGAGTTTCAAGCATTGCACGTCGCATACGCGCAACTCAGTTGTCTCGTCGCGCAGTCCAGGTAAATTTATCTTTTCTATTTAATGTGTGTGTGTTGTGTGTGTCTGTCTGTGTCTGCATATTTATAAACATGATGTTTTATTTATTTTCTGAAGGCAAAATGAAACTCAAAATTTTCAATAACATAATATGAATTACGTGCTTGTGCTTCCATTGCTTATTAGTGTTGTTTCTGTAATGATTCAGTATACATTCACATTCTAATTTATTTTTGAATGGGCTTTATATGCCATTTCTTAATGAGCCACATGGAGATGATTTGTCCCACCACCTTTGTTGTATTTGTTTTGCATGAATGTGAAATATTGTTGATGCTGCTTATTGGCAGACGGCACTAAAGATTTTCTACCAATTTCATTCTCTTTCTGATATTTTCAAGTGTGAATCTTATTGGCAGACGGGGACTATGGGTGCTGTATGTATTCTTGACGATGAACCAACAGCAAGTGGCAGGCACTGTGGCCAGATTGATCCTAATATATGTCAAAGTCTAAAGGTTAGCTTCTCTATTGCAGTGATGATCCAGCCTGAGTCTGGGCCAGTTTGTCTCTTGGGTACTGAATTTCAGAAGAAAGTGTGCTGGGAAATCCTTGTGGCTGGTTCTGAGCAAGGCATTGAGGCTGGGCAAGTTGGGCTTAGATTAATTACTAAAAGTGATAGACAAACTACGGTAGCTAAAGAATGGAGTATCAGTGCAACTAGTATTGCGGACGGAAGGTGTGCTTTTTTCTCTTATTATTATTATTATTTATTTATTTATTTATTTTTTGGGAAAACTCTTGTTAGTTGAATCTTCAGAATTTTGTTGTGTGAGCTTCTGCTTGTCTGTTTTCTTTCTAATTTTCTTTTTTCTTAATGGTTATGTTTCTATATCCGTCCTTCTAATATAATTTTATTTATTTATTTATTTTAATTATAATTACAATCACTGTCACTATCATTTTAATATTGTTGTTGGGAAAATTCTTGGAAGAAATTCTTTATTTGGGTGTACATGCATCAATTCTGTGCCTTTTTTCCCCTGAATTTTACCTTGGAGAATGAATTGTGTTGCAGGTGGCATATTGTGACAATGACCATAGATGCTGATCTAGGTGAGGCTACTTGCTATTTAGATGGTGGTTTTGATGGCTACCAGTCTGGACTACCATTGCGTGTGGGCAACAGCATTTGGGAGCAAGGGACTGAAGTTTGGATTGGCATTAGACCACCCACAGATATGGATGCCTTTGGGAGGTCAGATAGTGAAGGAGCTGAACCCAAGATGCACATAATGGATGTTTTCCTTTGGGGTAGGTGTTTGACTGAAGATGAGATTGCTGCTATTCATGCTGCCATGGGTTCTTCCGAGTACAGTATGATCGATCTTCCAGAAGATAATTGGCAATGGGCAGATTCTCCTCCCAGGGTATGCACCATTCTGGTTTTTTATCTACTGACTTTATGGGATTTTTATCCCTTTGGTTTATCAAGTTCATTGATTTTTTATTGTAAGGTGTAAATTTTGTTTTGATCCGTTCACTGATTACTATTTATAATCAGGTTGATGAGTGGGACAGCGATCCTGCTGATGTAGATCTTTATGACAGGGATGATGTAGACTGGGATGGGCAATATTCAAGTGGGAGGAAAAGAAGGTCAGAACGTGATGGGGTGGTATTAGATGTGGATTCTTTTGCCAGAAAGCTGAGGAAGCCCAGAATGGAAACACAGGAAGAAATTAATCAACGGATGCTTTCAGTTGAATTGGCTGTTAAAGAAGCCCTCTGTGCAAAAGGAGAAACACATTTCACAGATCATGAGTTTCCTCCAAATGATCAATCATTATTCGTAGATCCAGATTACCCTCCTTCAAAATTGCAGGTAAGTTCCCTGACTCTTGGTTGCCGCTGGACTCGCTTGTTTCCTTTGACTCATTGCCTGAGCTGTCCCGACCTTATCTTGGGTTTCCAATCTAGGTTGTCTCTGAGTGGATGAGGCCAACAGAAATAGTGAAGGAGAACCAGCCGGATTCTCGCCCATGCTTAGTCTCTGGGTCTGCAAATCCTTCTGACGTTTGTCAGGTTGGTCTCCTTTGCAACACTGCATCTTCTCTTTTTCATTGTTTTTTCTTCCTAATTTTTTTTTTTATTGGGTGGTAGGGGGTGGTTAGGTCATGTGTTTTAGTTGCTAGAAGTTGGACGTGTTAGTTGCTAGAACTTTTTTGTTGACATGATCTATTGTTCAGTTTCTCCTTTAAATGGTCTTTCTCTTGAACAGGGTCGATTAGGTGATTGTTGGTTTTTGAGTGCTGTTGCTGTTTTAACTGAGGTCTCACGAATATCAGAAGTGATCATTACACCAGAGTATAATGAAGAAGGAATATATACTGTTCGATTCTGTATTCAGGTACTATTCATAATTTAAAAATTAAAATTTTGCATATTATGATGTTTAATATGCCTACTATGATTTGCTTGATTTCTGTTATGAAATGTAGAACTTTCTTAATAATATTTTTTTACTTGTAGATTTCTGTTTTGAGTTGGTCTCTTGGAAGTTTGTATTTCTAAGTAATGGCGAAAATTTGTTGCCTTGTTTTTATAAGAGCAAATATCTTTAATCATTTTGGGTTTTGGAAACCTAGTTATATGGTGTTCTTGGAAATTTTTCCTTGTGCAATACCTAATTAAATACAACCAAAAGTCCTTCAACTTGAAAAGTTTGAGTAGAAGATAAAATTTGTTAGGGGAAGCCTTGTTTGATAATGTAAGAGTACTTCTAGTGCTCTCCTGAAATTTAGTTTAGATAATAAAAACCCTGAAATTATGGTTCTTTAACCGAGATTTTGTTGACTAAGAAACTGAGTTTTGCGCCTTGTGGGAAAGATCTTGTTTAGCAGCTTGGAAGATAACCTAGGCACTATTAATGATTTTAAATAAACATTGTGGAAAATTATTTACAAACATGTGTTTTAACTTTTCGATTTCCATATTACCTTAAGTTAATTATAAGGCCCTACAACTACTGCAAAGTATATCAGTATGCTTCTAACTATATTGCAATTTAAAGTAAATCATGAAGAGGGAAATAGTGGTGGAGGAGGAAGGTAAACAACACATCGAGAGGAGAGGCTTCTTTATATGGAAATGAAAATTTAAAGGTATAGAGGTGGAGTTAATAAACTCTAGACTTTTGTATGACTAAATTCTAAACTTGCTCACCATTCTCGACTTGTTCTAATAACATGGCCATTTCCCAGTTGCAGTCCTGCCAGTGCAGGATTATGCAAGGAGTAGATTGAATACTAACCAAAACTTAAAGATTATCTGCCCAATTTGGCTGTTCTTGGCTTCAAACTTGTGTCCTCGTGCTTGACAACTTGAGCATTTTATCATCGAACTATTCTAACGGCTCTATGAAAATTCCATTTGTTAAAGGAAAAAGGTTAAATGCAAGGGACCCTCTTCGACCTGGTCCTGCTTTTTGTGAATCTTTTCTTGATAGTTTGTGATTCCGTAATTGGTATTTTACTTGAAAAAAAGGCCTATTTACCCCGAGTATTTGGAGCGTAACCCTAAGCTCTGTTGTAGAGTATAAGGTCTTGATCTAGACCTAGAGGTGAGGTGAATTGTTCTTAATTGCCCAATTAACCGATTTTAACTAAAGAACTAAGAACATAATATTTCATCACCCTTATCAGAGCTCCACCCCATCAAAAGACCTCTTATTTCTCCCTCCACAAGGCCCACCACAAACAAAGGGGTGGCTCGCCATGCATCTCTAGCTTGGTGTCCCACTAAGCATCCTCTCCAAAACCTCTTCACATACTTTTTGTGGAAGCCGGCATGACCCACTAAATCCCAAAGATGATCAACACCTAAACTACATACTTGCAATACTAGATGCAATGATGAATATGCTAGATTGCACCCATATATGCTTCTTGTATGCTTGCTCAGAGATTGCTTGCATTAATTGCAGGTTTTCTAAACATATGTGGTCTCTACGAGTTCAGTAGAGGCTAGGTTAAAAAGATATTCACTTCTGCTAAATCCCTCATGAGACTCTGGTTCCGGTCAATCGTGCTTGTCAGCGTTCATCACCGCTGCTTTTAGCGACCCGACTGAATGAATGCGCTAACATGACTTGTGTAACGAGGACACCCTCGCTCTGTTCGGACGCCTTTATTCAGAAGATTTGAATTCGGCTTGCTTTCGACTTTTTGACAAACTAGCTATTGCTTGTTGCTAGCTTCTGCTTGAGCGTCTCACTGCTTGACTTCCTTTCAAGTTTCTAAGCGGGTAACATAGGTTTTCTCCTTTGACCGGGAAGCTGTTGTAGTGAGGTGGTGGGGGTGGCATAAGATCACACGGGTCGGGCTCCCCATTTCTTCTTTCTTTTCTAATCTTCTGTCTCTGCTCTGCTATCTTAACATAATATTAAGAATTGGGCTTATAGTCCAGCCTTTCAAGCCCTACTACGCAATTCAACAAAGATTGGTAAAATCCCCTAGTTGGATTGTCTTCAAGCAAGCTCTTAACTTTCATCGTGTCTAAGAGAGGAATTGAGGATCCAGCAAAGGTGAAAGCCATTCTGAATCTATGTCGTCACTTCCTTAACCTCAAAGAGTTGTGTAGTCTGCTGGGCTGGCTCCAACCTTTGATTTCAAAAGCTAGTACTTGACATCAATCCTTTTCCCCACCCCGAGATAGGCCCAAATCAATGCCATCCGACCTCATCAACCTACGCATAAACACTCCCGAGCTCTTCACGTTGTAACTGGATAAGTTATTATGGATATGATGGAATGAAAGATTAACATGCTGATGAAGACCTCCAAACTGAGGGTTCGGTCAGTAGAAGAGACAGCTTTGTCTACACATAGCCTGTAGCCTTTGATGGATATGTCAATCAATCGAAGTGACCAATTCTTGTAGCAGTAGGATTTTCAATAAGGAATGTTTCAAAAACAAGTTTATGCACTTCACAAAGGATTTTAATGAATTAAAACATCAAATATATGACACCCTAATCGAATGAATGAACAGATGAACCCTAATGTTGAGTGAATATATGAATGTTGAAATTACCTTTTTGCCTTTGATTGTAGCTTTTACTGCCGAATATGTCCTTGGAATGAGGTAACACAATTACTGTAACTAACTTTAAATATATGTATTATATATATCTAAAAGTTAAACAAAACTACAAATTCAAGTTTTTGTAACAAAATTAGCCAAATGTTAATGTGTCATATATTACCTGGTTTGAAATGATTTGGGGTTTGCGTTATATGTTCGAGCATTGCCAACGGTGATGTCCTTCTGTTAATATGCATAAAACGCTAATACCCTAGAATGCATGCTGCAAAATATGGGGAGCTTACAGGTCAAAATATGACATTTAGCAATCCGATGAGCTTTTATAGCTATGTACATGGACACTTTTTGCTCTCAGATAATACTTCTCATTATGTCTCAATCTCTCTTGGAGTAATACTATACCCTCACATTCCAACTATGCCATCAATAAAACCTACCCTTCTGTACCATATTCAAAGCCTGTAGCATACCTCGTTATTGTTCATATTCTGTGTATGTTCCTAGCCCAAGTAAGAATCCCGGTGTAGTGCTTCACTTAAGCTTGAGTTAGACGGTTAGACCAATGTTGATTATTAGTTCATAACCATGTCAGCTCTCTAATATTTGATGTGGTTGCATTTCTCAAGCTCATGCTCTAGCTATTGTCGTTGAAACTAACATTCTTGAAATCATGTAGTAACTATTTTTTCTACTTAATGGTTTAGTGGTTTAATAATTACATAGAATCTTATTGAATGTTCTTATGATATGCTTACTCGGTTCAAGAAGCTGAAAGAATGTACATTTGTGATATTTCTGATTTTAGGGTGAATGGGTTCCTGTTGTTGTTGATGACTGGATTCCATGTGAATCACCTGGTAAACCTGCATTTGCTACCAGTAGGAAGGGGAATGAACTATGGGTCTCTATTTTGGAGAAGGCGTATGCTAAACTGCATGGATCTTTCGAGGCATTAGAAGGTGGCCTTGTCCAGGATGCTCTTGTGGATCTCACTGGAGGAGCGGGTGAGGAGATTGACATGAGGAGTGCGCAGGCTCAAATTGACCTTGCAAGTGGAAGACTATGGTCTCAGTTGTTACGTTTCAAACAAGAGGGGTTTTTGTTGGGTGCTGGGAGTCCTTCAGGTTCAGATGTACATATTTCTTCCAGTGGAATTGTGCAAGGACATGCTTACTCATTATTGCAGGTATGTTGATCTGAGAGCTTCTAAGTATTTTTACGATTTCTAGCTGAAGGAAGTTTTAAGTAATAAGATCACTCTTACTAAATTATTGTTTAGGTAAGAGAAGTAGATGGCCACAAACTTGTTCAGATTCGGAACCCATGGGCAAATGAAGTAGAATGGAATGGCCCTTGGTCCGATTCATCATCTGAATGGACTGATAGGATGAAGCATAAGCTCAAGCATGTTCCACTGGTAATTATTCTGCAAGTGCTAAGTATTTGTTCCTTTTTTTCCTTTAAATGTTTTAAGGTGGTATTACAACATTTTACTTCACCACAATGTGTTGTGGTTGGCATGCATGAAGAGACTACATTTATTGCCATCTTCATTACTTTCGAATAAATCTTGTTGTCATTGGCCTGATCATTTACTTGTTGAACAGTCAAAGGATGGTATATTCTGGATGTCTTGGCAAGACTTCCAGATTCACTTCAGATCAATTTATGTCTGTCGTGTATATCCCCCGGATATGCGTTATTCTGTCCATGGCCAATGGCGAGGTTACAGTGCTGGTGGCTGCCAAGATTATGATACATGGCATCAAAATCCGCAGTTCCGATTGAGGGCTACCGGGCCAGATGCTTCATTTCCAATTCATGTGTTCATTACTTTAACTCAGGTTTATATAATGCTACACTTCTGGTGGATCTATATTTGAAAATTGGCTCTCTTGCTGGCTAAAATATAAAACGTAACTGACATTATGAATTTGTAGGGTGTGAGCTTCTCTAGAACGACGGCAGGTTTCAGAAATTATCAATCCAGTCACGACTCAATGATGTTCTATATTGGGATGAGGATACTCAAGACTCGTGGCCGTCGTGCTGCTTACAACATATACTTGCATGAATCAGTTGGTGGGACAGATTATGTAAATTCTCGAGAAATATCATGTGAAATGGTTCTAGAACCTGATCCAAAGGGTTATACTATAGTGCCTACAACTATCCACCCCGGAGAAGAAGCACCATTTGTACTTTCTGTATTCACCAAAGCATCAATAATCCTCGAGGCTTTATAGTGTGCAATGATGACCCATCCAAACACATCTGCAAAATTTTGGATTGCTTGGGTTTTTTGCCTAGATCATGCACAATTGCAAGGAGATTGACTAAACCCCAGATTATTTTGACTGATAATTGAGGTAATATTCTCATTTCAAGCCTTCTTTACATCTATATTGCACTTAACCTTATCTTTATTAGCAGTTAGTTTAACTGTTAACAGGTTTTAATTGATCATCCTAAAAGTCCTTTCCTAGAAATTTGTTTGTCATCTTCCTGCATATCAAGTTAATTAGAGCAAGCTCCAAACATGAAATGTGGAATTTCCGGAGTTGGCATTTTCCCATTCTTACCCAAATGTATCTTTTTAAATTCACCACGGGATGGGATTTTCCTTGCCTAAATCCGATATGAATGGGTCGGTGACAAATTCTCTTTTCCCCGTGAGAATTATCGGCGTGTTTTGACATACATTTTACAGCCAGCTGTCTGCCTGATATCCTAAAACGATTCTCCAGCTTCTTGCTTCCCAGCTTAACGACAGGAGACAGACTGGTTTTTTTTATATATCTGATATTAATTATTAGAGTACCATTTCTGGAAAAGGCTGCCACAAATCGAGGTACAAACTCTTTTTTTTTTTTTTTTTTTTAAATTCCTTTCATATGATGCCAGACTAGTGTTTTCGAATTTTATTATTAGTCCGTGTAGATACAACAGTGCATCTAGAAATCTGATAAATTCCAATGTTGGATAGTTTGTCCCGTTTTTCATCATGCACTTCCGTACTCCGGATTACCATCTGTGGCTCAGTTTGCCTCTCTTCTTTAGTCCAAAGTTGCTGCTTCTCACATGGGAACACTGTAGAAACAAAGTGTCTCCTTGTCCAGAGGAAGACAGTGATTGATTGTCTTCTTCCTGGTTGTTTTCATCATGTAAATTGTGATCATCACTTGTCAAGTGCTATCCATAAGCTGAGTTATAGACACATTGGTTTGATCTTAGAGAACTGTTTAACAAATTGCAGAATGAGTTTTGAGGTTTTTTGGCCATTTTTATTTTATTTTATTGAATTAGAGATATTGTGAATGTTTTAAGGTGACTGGAACAGTAGCTATCAAATTATGAATAGCATAAATAGCATTGTACTCTCGGTTGGAGTTTGGATAGTAATTGTTCTTATATCGTTGATCATGAGTTGTGCTACATCTTGAAGTTTCAATATTTAATCTAGGAACCTTAAATATTGATGATTTCATTATTTAGAATCAATATTCTGCAAAACATATGATGTGAAACTATTCATTCTCCAAAAATAATTGAGATGCTGGGGAAACTGATTTGAAGTTTTATCTTTTAGCAGGGAACACAATGCAATTCTGATCTCAGCTGCAAGGGATGTTTTTGGGTTAATAATGCTCAAAAGGCCGGTGATTCAATTTCTCGGTTCAATTCCAAGCTCAGAGCTCACCAGATATCATTGTTCCTTAGCTGTAATGTTATATTATCAACAGGGAATGATCATGTCGAAATTGTGTTTATGATCTAGAGGCTGTCTCAATTTTCTTCTCTGGCCATTTGCTTCTGCCGGCATTGAAGAGGGTTCTCGGAGATAATCTGTACATGAGTAGATGTTGTAAGAATATAGGATTTGATGATGTAAATGGGGGGGTGAAAAGGAAAGGGTTGAAAAGAAATAGAAGAGGAATTAGATACATTATTGGAGGATAATACAAAAAAGCATTGTAGCTGGATCTGGGTTTAGAAGTTTTCAGCTGCAGTTTTGAAGTGCTTTGGTCCAACATTACTTGTACAAACGTTTCTTTTTGCAATATAATTTACCCATTTAAGCACTTTTGTTTCTCTCCATCTACTAAATTATTTGTTCCTTCTTTCTGTTTTGGCTCTTGAAAGAAGAAAGGGAACTTCCCTGTATATATCATAAACAACACTAAGGCTTAGTTTGGTGTGCGTGAATGAAATGAAATGGAATGAGAATGAAACTAGGAATGGAATGGAATGGAATGAGAATGATGATTTCCATTATCTTGTTTGGTTACAAACATGGAATGCGTAAAAATAAAATGATGATTTTCATTCACGTTTGGTTTGACTAATGTAAAAATTAAAATGGAATAAATTTATATTGTTTTCTCCAAATAGCCTTTATTATTAATAAAAAAATTAACTAAAAAAATTAAAATCTAAAGAAATTTTTTCCAATAAAGAAATTTTTTCCAATCTAGGGTAAGAAAGAAGTCTGTAAGAATGAAATTGGGGCGAGAGAGAGAGAGAAAGTAGAGAGAAGAAAGAAACTGGGCAAGCGAACGGAGGTGTTGGAAATTGGGTTCGGTTGTGTGTTAGAGAAGATGATAATGGCGGCGCGGAACAAGGCTGGATTATGGAAAGGAGTATAACAGATCTCTTTCTTAAAAAAATCCTTTGTTTATTTATTGGAATTGATTCACCCCTTCCATTAATTGAAGACTACTTCAAAACACACAATGATTACCATACAGGGAAAAAAAATGTTCTTGATCTATTTATTATATTGCAAAGTATTTTTTGTACAATACGTGATGCATCGAAGAATATATATATATATATATATATATATTCCATGTTGCTTCATCACGGATCTGTTATACTCCTTTCCATAATCCATATGTAACTTTAATTATATATATATATATACACGTAATCGTTGACCTCTTGCCAATTGATTCTGAGTAGCTTTATCGAGATCAGAAGCGAATTGTGCAAAGGCAGAAGCAATGGTTTGTGCGAGTTAAGGGCAAGGCCTTGGAAGGCCTTCTATTTTAGGGAAGCCAAAAAACGTGAGCGCCTAGCGCGAGCCTTATTGAAAAGGCCCTTTACTAAATAATAGAAGGGAAGCCTATATATATATATATATAATTAAAGTTACATATGGATTATGGAAAGGAGTATAACAGATCTGATATGAAGGGGTGGATTGGAAGAGAACAAAGACGTGATGGAAGAGATGAACGGTTTTTTTTCTCATAATTTTTTTTAATTCTATTCCATGTGGGAATGGAATGCTCATTCCATTATTAAAGAGAGGGAATGAAATAGTGGGAATGGTCATTCTTAGAGAATGCCTCTTGATTCTCTTTCCAACTTTAATTTAACCTACCAAACACGGGAATGGAATAAAAACCATTCCCATTCCCTCTTAATTGATTCCATACCGTCACACCAAACTAGTCAGAGAAGTATTGGGAGAAATCTAATTTACATTCAATGTGTTACAAGAGGGTATATATAGGTTTTACAAGAGAATATCTCTCAGTTAGGTCCTTTATCCAAGGAAACAAATAACAAGTCGAGATATTCTTGGTCAATAACTAGTTGAGATATTCATGGTCAACTACTTGATTTGAGGAAGCAAGTAACAACAAATTTAAATGAAAGAAATCTATATACAGCTAACAAGTGATGTGGTGGAGCTGATATTCATACTCTCCCTCAAGATGGAGCGTGGATGTCAAAAACGCCCAGCTTGCGAATGAGTCTTAAGAAAACATCATTTCCAAGTGGCTTGGTGAATATATCAACAACTTGAGACGACGAGGGGATGTATCGAGGCGACAATAATTTGTTTTGAATCTTTTCAAGCATGAAATGACAGTCGATCTCGATGTGCTTTGTGCGTTCATGAAACACTGGATTGTGAGAGATGTAAAGAGCCGCTTGATTGTCACAAAACATGGTCATCGGAGATGTATGTGAAATGCCCAAATTTGCAAGAAGATATTTTGACCATTGAAGTTCACATGCAAGGGTTACCATTGATCTGTATTCGGCTTCTGCAGAAGATTTAGATACAGTTGGTTGCTTCTTTGTCTTCCATAAGACAGGGCAAGAACCAAGGAAAGTGCAATAACCACTAGTAGATCGACGAGTGGTGGAGCAGTCGCCCCGATCAGAATTGCAAAAACCTGTGATGTGGAGAAAGCTAGAAGCTTATAATAGTATACCTTTGTTGAGAGAACCTTTGAGGTAACGAAGTACACGATTAGCAGCATCCATGGGTGTAGTACGTGGGGATTGCATGAATTGGCGAGTTGGTTGACTGCATAGGTGATATCCGATCGTGTGACAGTAAGATAAAGAAGACGACCTACAAGGCGACAGTAAATTGTAGGGTTTGGTAATAATGTGCCACCCTCTGTAGCAAGATTGAGATTTTGTTCCATAGGGAACTCAAAAATCCGACCACCTGTGGTTCTTATACTGGATAAAATGTCGATGGTATATTTGCGTTGGGTAAGGAAGAGGCCTTTCTTAAAGCGGGTTATTTCGATGCCAAGGAAATATTTTAATCTCCCTAAGTCTTTAATGTAGAAATTCTGTTTTAGAAATTGTTTCAATTTCTGAATAACGAAGGGATTATTTCCTGTGATAAGAATGTCATCGACATAAACGAGCACAAATGTGGAATTAGAACCATTAATCTAAGTAAATAAAGAATAGTCAGATTTAGATTGAGTAAACCCTGCGTTGATCAATGTTGTAGAGAATTTGGCAAACCATTGCCGAGAAGCATGTTTGAGTCCGTACAAGAATTTATTGAGTCTACATACCATTTGCTCCCCCTATTTGATGAATCCCGTGGGTAAAGTCATGTAAACCGTCTCATTTAAATCCCCTTGTAGGAATGCATTATGGATGTCCAATTGATGAATGGACCAATTTCTGATAGTAGCAATGGAAAGAAACAAGCGAACATTGACTAATTTAGCCACATGAGCGAAGGTATCATGGTAATCTTGGCCCTCAATCTGATTGCATCCTTTAGTGACCAAACGAGCCTTGTAACGTTCAATGGAACCATCTGAATGATACTTGATCTTAAAAACCCATTTACAGCCTATAGGCTTGTGATGTAAGGGTAAAGGAGCAAGAGTCCAGGTATGATTTTTTCTCTAATGCTGCAATTTCGACAGACATTGCATCTCTCCACTATGGAATTTTGACAGCTTGAGAGAATGATTTTGGTTCAGCTGTAGAAGACACTGTAGATAAAAAAAACTCTGTGGGACAAAGAGAAATTAGTGTCAGAAATATACAAAGTAATAGGATATGGAATAGAACTTGTAGTTACTTGAGAGTCTGATTAAATAAGTTTAGCCGAATGAGGGACAGTGGGGCAATGAAAATCGTTGAGATGGGGCGGTGGGTGTCTCTATCTGGATGGCCGAGATGATTTAGGAACAACGGGTTGTGCTACTGAAGTTGACTCTGGATTTTCATTGGGTAAGATTGTGGGTTGTGTGGAAGGATAACGATGATGATATACCTGTAATAGTGGAACCTGATGGGGTTGGTTTGCAATAGGGGATTGTTGGATGACTTGGGCAGATGAATTGGAATCCATATGATTAGTAGCTAAATCTGAAACTGCTAGTGGAAAAGGTGCATAATTGAATGTGCCATTGTCAAAGACATGTAAAGGGTAAACTTGCAAGTTTGAAGGAGAGGCCGAGATATCTTGATAAGGAAAAATGGTCTCATGAAAGATCACATCACGAGATGTGTAAATTTGCTTAGAAACAATATCTAAATTGCGATACCCTTTTTGAGCATGGGGATATCCAACAAAAATACCCGGTTTGCCTCTTTGATCGAATTTATTTTTGATGTTGGTATTACGGCCAAAACATAAGCAACCGAAAATTCAAAGGTTGGTATAATTTGGCGGTGTGTGGAACAGTATTTCATGTGGTGACTTACCACCTAACAAAGGGGTGGGAATTTTGTTATTTATATAGGCTGCAGTTAAAACACACTCACCCCAAAAAGATAATGGAAGATGGGTTTAAAAACGTATGGCACGTGCACATTAAGTAAGTGACAGTGTTTTCTCCCTATTACACCATTTTGATGTGGTGTAGCAACGCAACTGTGTTGATGGATGTGACGGCCCAAGTTTTTCAACCTGGTGCGTCAGTGATGAACCGAAAGATGACCAGATAACGGATCCGAAATACGGAAGCAAAAGACAAGCAACGGTCTCTAGAGATACAACATGACTCTAAGACGCCAATGTGACCCTCAACGAGGTCACAGAACCCAAAGGAATCAAATGCGGAAGCAACGTTTCAAAAACGAACAAGAATGAATCTAAGGGCAAAAATGTCATTTCCAGCTTAAAAGTGGGTACCACCGAGCACACCATTGGAAAGACAACGAAAAATTAATGAATTTAGACTCAAGAATCACTTGATTCGGAGTCCGGATGAAGAAAATATGGCTAACGAAAGAAGAAGGGGCAAAACGGTAAAAAAGGTGACAACGAAGAACATCTAACCGGTTAGGAGGCCAAAATTCACGACCAAAACACTGCCCATGCACATGTAACCGGTTACCAAACTCCTCGTAACCGTTTACATGTGAAGAGGGCAGTAAGGTGCAACCCAAAAACCTGGTAGCAGGGATTTTACCGGGAAAAATGGAAATTTGAGGGCCAAGATGACATTTTCTGGAAAAATTCAAAGTAGAAACCCTCCTCAAAATTGAGTTTTCTACGTGAAACAAAAGAAAAATAAAAAAATACGCACTGTGAAATGCCCAAAATGCCCTCCCAAGAAAACTGGTCCAGAGGGTCCAAAAAGCTGCTAAATGGAAAAACAGAAGCTGAACTTCGGGATTGATTTCCGATGCCAAGATGACATTTTCTAGAAAAATACGAAGAAGAAACCCCCCCTAAAATCACATTTTATAAGTGACTATGTGAAGAACAGAATTTATTTCCCAAAGGAAATTGCCAAAATACCCTTAGGTTAGAATATGCAACAAAAGTGAAAAATGAGTCCGTAGGAGGCTCATTTCACCAAA